TTAGCCTGTCTCAGTTAGTAAATGGACCCACTCATGGGTCACACACTGGACCTAGTTTTGGCCCGTGGGCTGAGTATTAGTGACTTGAACATTCTCCCGGCTAGTTTCTCAGATCACTTACCAGTTTAGTTTAATTTGGATTTGGCTTCTGTTGCTCGTCCGAAATGTGTCCGTGCCTGCTGCTTTCGTGCATCCCTCCCTCCACTGCAGCAGATTTAGCCGCTGTTTTTGCATTGGAATCTGACCCCTGCGAGTCTACCAGTGATGAGGTTTTACTGCATCATTTTAACACTTCTTGCCTGGCTGCTGTGGATACTGTAGCTCCATTAAAATCCAGTCAACAAAATCCAAGCCGGGCCAGTGGCTGAATGAGCGTATCGTTTTATCAGGCAACACTGCAGAAGACTGGATGTTGGAAAAAAGATGGGCTTACTGTTTCCTTTGAATGTATGAGAGATGCATGGTCACATGATCAAAAAGCTGTCATCGTTTTTTTGCTGGTGTTGTTCCTGCCAATGCTAACAATCAAACTGTCTTGTACAAAACCCTAAATGCCATGTTGTCCCCTGCTGCAACCATGTTCTCCATTGTCTCTGTTGGTCTCTGTAATCATACCTTCAGTTTTTTATAGATAAGGTTGGTATTAGAGCAGCAATTTCTCCTGCTTCCCATGTTCCATTTGCTGCCATTCCTACCCATGGGCTTTTCAACAGCTTTGAACCCATCTCCCTGTTCTCTTGGGAAAAGATAATAGCTTCTGTGATGCCATCTGGATCTCCGAATGATGTGGTACCACCTCGTTTCCTGAAAGATGTGCTTCCTCTGATTGGCCGCAATGTACTGGGCATTGATAATGGTAGCTTGACCTCGGCTGAAGTTCCTCATGCCTTCAAATGTGGTCATTCAGCCGATTTTGAAAAACCAGGTCTTGATCCAACTGCTTTCTCAAACCTCCGACCATTTTCCAAACTACCATTTCTATCGATGGTACTTGAAAAAAATTGTGCATGAACAGTTACTATTACATCTAAATGACCATAATGTAATGGACATTTTTCAGTCTGGGTTTAGACAACATCATAGCACAGAAACTGCTCATGTGTGTGTTTTTAATGACATTTTTATGGCTTTGGACTCAGGTTTCTATGTGGTTCTGGTGCTTCTTGATCTATCAGCAGCTTTTGATACGATTAGGGATGAGTACCGAATTCGGTACTTTTTAAGGCACCGACCCAATTCCATAGTACCGACTGAGTACCGATTTATGCCATATGAAATGGTGCCTTGTTTTGGTACTTGTGCCACGTGCAAGAGCGTAACGTCGTCAGTCACTGTGGGCGAGCTATAAATAAAGAGAGCAAGCGTTCTGAAGTTTGGGCCCACTTCACTAAATGCGATGGGCTGTTGGGTGATGATGAAACCAGCGATAAAGATGTGAGGATGAGGCGTCTTAATCTGCTCCAGCAGCTAAATAAACTGTTTAAGATAATGTTAGCTTGACAGTTTAGTTTTTGTTTTACATAGCTAATGGTGCGTTCACTTTCTCCTTGGAAATTCCAACTTCCAAGTAGGAAAAATAAACAGTTTGAAAATGAATGGCAACAAGGAACGAAGATACGCAGTAAATTTAGTTCACAGCAAAGATGTTTGCTTCAGTGTAATTTGTAGTTTATAAAACTACAAGGACCCACCATCACACAGCTTTTCCAGATGAGAAAGGAGAGGAACAGGAGTACATGGAGCTGGGTTTAGTTTGTGGAACACCACAATATTATAATATAAACTGTTGTACGGTATCGACGTTTGCTTTAGTATCATTTGTAGTTTATAACACATGGTCTCCTCATCAGAGTTATTCCAGAGGGCCTGGAAGAGGATTAGGAGTACATGGAGCTGGGTTTGTTTTAGAAACAGTTGTTGTTAAAGGTTTTCATAATGAAGAATTGTATACAACACTACGATGAAAAAATACAAACAGTTGTATCATGATATTTATCAAATATGGTTATATATTGGAAAAATAATAGATATGTAATTAAAACAATGATTTAAATAATTATTAAACACTCAAAAGTTTCAAAAATTGGTACAGTTAAGTACCGGTATCGATTCGTAGGTACCAGGAACTGGCACAGTATCGATTCAAATGTCAAAGGTACCCATCCCTAGATACAATCAATCATAACATCCTGATCTCCAGACTACACACATGGGCTGGCCTCTCCGGTTTGGCCCTTGACTGGTTCCAGTCTTACTTTTCTAGCAGGACCATCAGGGTCATGCTGAACAACTACTCATCATGTCACGCCCTGTCCTGTCTTCTCTTAGGTTTTAGTCGGAGTCTCCGTTAATTGCTCCCACCTGCCTCTTGTTTCCCAATCACCATAGCTCCCTCTCCTCTTGTATTTAAACCCCTTCTGTTCTGTGTTCCATGTCGTGTCATTGTTTCAGTGTCCAGCCTGCTTCATTAAAGAGACTAATGGTAAAAGTACCTACCTGTTTTCCTTCTTCCTCCCCGCGTTTGGATCCTCATCTGATCACCGCCTCGCTGCCCGGCACGCTTGTGACAGAATGACACGACCCCCTGAAGGGTCCAGCGGGGAGATCCTCCCATGAAGTATCTATTCCAGTTTCTCTCCGCCGACTATCGACCGGCTTCTCCTTCCCCAGCTCCAGCTCCGCCTCGCCACAGACGGCGTCCCCGACCTTCTGCCTCGGCGTTCCTCGCCGCCCTTCCGGAACCGGACGGGAGGTTGGATGGAGAGACGCTCCGGGATCGCTCCAGCTTCGAGGGCACGAGGCTGGCTTTCTGCTCCCCCGGGGTCGGTCCACGGCGTGGGGAGAGACGTCGGAATCCACCGCAGCCCTGCGCTTCAGGACGGAGCTGCGAGCCTGCCGCTGACCGTGCTCGGCGAGCCAGTTCGGACACGCCCCCGGTCAGATGGGTCCGGTGCAGGCCCAGAAGCAGACGTTACCAGCCCAGAAGTCGGCGGTTCGGAGACCGGCGGTCCAGAAGCCGGAGAACCAGAAGCCGATGGAAGGCGACGCCCCCGGGCCACGGGTCGACGCCTCCCAAGTTGGCTCGTCTGACGACGTCGCCTCCCAAGTTGGCTCCCAAGTCGACGTCTCCTCTGAAGTCGGATCCCAAGTCGACGTGTCCGAAGTCGTCTCCCAAGTCGACGTGTCCGAAGTCGCCTCCCAAGTCGACGTGTCCGAAGTCGCCTCCCAAGTCGACGTGTCCGAAGTCGCCTCCCAAGTCGACGTGTCCGAAGTCGCCTCCCAAGTCGACGCCTCCGAAGTCGCCTCCCAAGTCGACGCCTCCAAGCCAAGGGTCGACGCCTCCAAGCCAAGGGTCGACGCCTCCAAACCAAGGGTCGACGCCTCCAAGCCAAGGGTCGACGCCTCCAAGCCAAGGGTCGACGCCTCCTCTGATGTCGGCTCGTCTGATGTCGGCTCGTCTGAAGTCGGCTCGTCTGTCGCCTCGTCTGATGACGTCGCCGCCCCTGATGTCGGCTCGTCTGATGACGTCGCCTCCTCTGAAGTCGGCTCGTCTGATGACGTCGCCGTCCCTGAAGTCGGTTCGTCTGATGACGTTGCCGCCCCTGAAGTCGCCTCGTCTGATGACGTCGCCGCCCCGGAAGTCGGCTCGTCTGATGACGTCGCCTCCTCTGAAGTCGGCTCGTCTGATGACGTCGCCGCCCCTGAAGTCGGCTCGTCTGATGACGTCGTCTCCTCTGAAGTCGGCTCGTCTGATGACATCGCCGCCCCGGAAGTCGGCTCGTCTGATGACGTTGCCTCCTCTGAAGTTGGCTCGTCTGATGACGTCGCCGCCCCTGACGTCGGCTCGTCTGATGACGTCGCCTCCTCTGAAGTCGGCTCGTCTGATGACGTCGCCTCCTCTGAAGTCGGCTCGTCTGATGACGTTGCCGCCCCTGAAGTTGGCTTGTCTGATGACATCGCCGCCCCGGAAGTCGGCTCGTCTGAAGACGTCGCCTCCTCTGAAGTCGGCTCGTCTGATGACGTCGCCGCCCCTGAAGTCGGCTCATCTGATGACGTTGCCTCCTCTGAAGTCGGCTCGTCTGAGGACGTCGCCGCCCCTGACGTCGGCTCGTATGAGGACGTTGCCTCCTCTGAAGTCGGCTCGTCTGAGGATGTCGCCGCCCCCGACGTCGGCTTGTCTTAGGACGTCGCCTCCGTTCAGTTCAGGATCAACTTCAAAATTCTTCTACTTGCACTCAAATGTTTGAACCTTCAGGCCCCTCCCTATCTGAGCGAACTCCTCCATTTCTACCATCCCTCTGGTGCTCTTAGGTCTGCAGGTCAACTCCTCCTCACCGTCCCTAAGGCATGTTTGAGGACTCGCGTGGGAACGGGCTTTTTGTATCTGTGCCCCAAAACTTTGGAATTCCCTACCCCTTCCGGTTAGATGAGTACCCTCGCTTCCCGTCTTTAAACCGAGGCTGAAAACACGTTACTTCTCCATGGCCTTCGATTCTTAGCATCAACAGTTTGTCACACCTCCTTTCACTGTGGTCTTCCCTTCTTAAATCTGTGGTCTGACTACTCTTAATATTTTTATTGTTTTTGTTTGGAACCGTTCTTTGCTGTATTATTTTTAATAGATTTTGTGACTCAACTATTTTAAGCTTTTTTTGTTCAATTTTGTACGGCGCTTTGGTTGGTTGTAACGCCATGTTGAAAGCGCTTTTATAAATAAAATGGTATGGTATGGTAAATCAAATAGTCAAAGACCAATAAGATTGATAATTCATATTTATATGGAATATCACATCTTATTGATCATTTAATAATATGTAGCTACATCCATCACGCTACAGACTTAGGTCAAGCCTAAAACACCGTTTAAACAGAAACACAAGGCAATGACGCGGCTTTTCCCGTAAAACAGAAATAAAGTCCGCAACAGTTAGGAAGCTAATCTTTGTGGAACATTTTCCAGACTTCAGCCCTCTGCAGCGTTGCAAACAGCAAAAAACCCATTTGAACTCATGTGTTTAATTACAGCACAACCAGAAAGGCTCAGGCAACAGAAGACTACACGGAGATGGAAAAAATAAATAAAAACGTTCATATAAAAATAATCTCTTCCAAAATATATTTTATCATCAACATGAAGGGAGTGCTGGCTCCAGGCGGTAGGGCTCCGAGTCCATACGGCCGCTTGGTCACATCCAATAACTAGCAGCAAAACTGAAGGAATCTTTACAGAATATAGTCACTGTTCCACAACCAGTACACAGACAGTTTAACCAGTATAACCAGTTTGTAACTGGTAGCAGAACAGTAAACATGTCAATACTTCTCTATACAATCTGATGTACCTGACCATGTGTCAAAGGCTGTTGTTCACCTGGAGAGAAACACACTGGGGGAGGGGCGCATAATAAATCAGACTTTTACGAGACACTAATGGGAGTTCTGCTTTCACCCTGCATGTTTTTCACGTTGCCACTTTTCTACTTCTTCTCCTTTGCACCACTCCTGACTATTTCTGGTCAGGAGGTGTTAGGCCTGCTCATCGACTGCTGTCCCTCTGCCTCTCAGATCAACAGGAGCTGCTGGTTCTGGTACCAACTCATCTGGACCAGCATTCCTCCCACAAGATCTGTGATCATGCCAAGGGAACAACCAGCAGACAGCAAACGTCATGTCAGTTCTGTTTAAAGACCGAGTGCATAGAAACACATCTGAAGGCTTTCAGTCTGGTTCCTCTAACAGGTGACCTCACGTCTCAGTGAACACATGAAGGTCTAACTGAAGAACAACCATCTAATCAGATGACTGCATGTTCACTTCCAGTGTTTAAGTTGATTTGAAGTGGTCAAAAAATAAAGTTAAGTGCACGTATTACTGAGGCAGCTTTACTAAGCTATGAACCTACACAGCTACACCCTAACAGATTTAGTAACCCATGAAATATCAAAATAGTCAATAGTTCCTCAGCCAATAAATTATTAAGTCTATTTTACACACACACACACACACACACACACACACACACACACACACACACACACACACACGGTTCAGGGAAGCAGGGAGCATCTCTACTTGCAGGTATGAACCGTGGTCCTTTCACTACACGTGTTGCATTTCACGTAGCAGCACCACAGGAACTTGCAGTTGCACTGCCAAACACGCGAGTATTGGTGTGTGTCGTGTCCACGGCCACAGCACATCAGGTCGCAGCTGTTGGGCTGCTGGGCCGTTTTGTTGCACAGGCGGCCCTGAGTTCCCACGCTGCCCGTCAGGGGGTCGGCTTCACAGTAGTTGGGTGACCTCTCGATGTAGACAAGCTCAGTGTCTTTGGGCTTGTGGTAGAAGTGTGGTTTCTTAATCTTCAAGAAGGTGGGGCGCTTGTTGCGGCTGGCGCGCACCGGCTCCACGTGGACGGCCTGGCTGTACTTGTCTTTGAGCATGTATCCCAGGTGACGGAACTTAGGGAGCGTTGTCCAGCAGGTCTTGGTGGTGCAGGATCCAGAAACACCATGACACTTGCACTCCAGATGCATGCCCTTCTCCAGGACCTACAACACGGAGCACAAATCAGAAGACTCAGCATTACAAGTCTCATCAAGTAGGAATGTTACAACTTTCATGCTAACAGGTCATTAGAAACTAATGTTTTCTTTTTATCATTTTTAATCACTTAATTTTCTGAATGAGCTGTTCAAATCACCTCAGTTCTGCAGAGTACACCGCCTTGTTGCCAAAAGCAAAATAGTTCATGAATTGTTCAACAGGTTGAGACAAACGTTTTCCTGCAGTCTGGATGAGCGTAAGCATTCCAGAGATCCTGGAGTGGCTGCAGGATGTCAGCCTATAGGCTGATCCATGCTGCTGCGTCAGCTCCGCAAGGGACAGACACGCACGGACTGACGGAAGCGTTTTGCTCTCATACTTCTCCGTCTCCTGGGGAGTGTTGCAAAGCAATTCTCCACCAGGACACCAGAGGGCGTAGCGCTGTTCTGTGGTATCCTGTCATGTATCGGTCCAAGATCGCGTGTTTATATTGTGTTTTTTAGTATATAAGAGACTTTAAACACTGACAAATTTGTCTCTCATCCTCCTCCACCTCTTCATGCGTTCCCCACCTCTAAACCCACGTTTCCTGTCATTTCCGTCCACAAATAAAACGCTTGCTGTGCATCTTTTCACTCCTCCAGTCACGGGGAATTAAACGTTCATGTTTTTAGAGTTTTTTTGCGAGGTATTCTTCAAGCTTCTCCGTGTCTGCCGCTGGTTATCCTCGACTCTCTTTATGTTTTTGAAGGCGCAATGGCGGCGGTGTAGACGACAGCGGCGTCCTGACCAATCACAAGCTTGCGTTCCCCGTCTCGTTCGACGGATGTTTAAAAAAGTGGGCGTGGCTCCGTACGTACTTGCGTGCCTGCCAAGGCCCTACGCAAGGACTGATAATGGCGCTGCGTGTCTCCGCACTGACGCGGACGCATGAATCAGCCTTGTGGCAGGAAGCTGGGATCTAACAGGCTTCACCAGGCAGGACAGGATTCAGACACTCTCTTGGGAAGAATATCAACGAGTCATTTAAACGTCCTTAAATGGCTCTTTTTAAGCTTTAACAAAAGCTCTGATGGTGTGTAGCTGGTATAGAAATCTGCAGCGAGGTTCCCAACTGGAACCAACAGATCCAACATCACTCCTGGTTCCACATCTCAGGTGACTCTAAAATCCTGGCCTCCGATTGGTCAAACTTCTGTAAATGACCAACTGTTAAAGGGGCGGAGCACTGAAAAAAATCTTTTTTTTATGATTATTTCAGATTCTTACGGGTCACTCTGAGCTTTTCATGCAGGCTGAGCATGAGAATAGTCTCCTACACCGATCTCCTTCACAAGCTCCTGAGTGGGGTTGGGCATCAGGTTAGGGGGAAGGCTGTTGTTGGTTAAGCGTCCAGGAAACAGCAGAGGACGTCTCGGCTAACTGTTAGCTTTAGCAACTCCACCACACAGCAGAACTCCTCCAGGCTTGTATTATTTGTGGAAAGTGAACATCAGCGTTGCAGAGCAGACAGGCAGTGGTCGAGTTGTGTTGCTGGTATCCAATCAGAGGCGAGATGTCCAGATATCGGGAAGTAAGACTCAGAATCCTGTCGTCTGAAGTTCTGCTCTGCTGTGGCTCACTTCTAGTTCCTGAAACTGTTGCACCACTCCTTTTTGTACCCAGAGCACAACCGACAAAGCGTTCATTCCCACTCGAGACCGCTGCAAATGTATGGATTAAACAGCGTTCCACGCCTTCATAAACCCAAGCCCTCGGTTCCACCAGAACCCCCAGCAGAGGCCAGATCTCAGGCTTTTATCAGTGCAACATAAAGTTTCATACTAAAGACTGTGAATAATCTGCCAGTTTCTGTGGTTGTGGCGGTCTGATAAAACCCTGTGTGTGATGTAAAAGGACTCTTAAGAGACCATCGGTTGAGTAGCTGTCGTGTTTTCACCCAATCAGGTGAACGTGTGCTAGCAGAAGCACTCTAATCAGGCGTCTACTGAAGACCTAGCCCTGACTGCTGACAGAGTCTGGGTACAACACAGTAAGCACCATGACAGATGAACACAACGCAACAGCCATGACTAAAAGCTGCAGACGCGGTCTCCCTCCATCAGGTTGTTACTGACCTTCAGCAGCGAGGACAGTTCCATCAGCAGGAGTCCATCACAGAGTCAGAGAGGAGAGAGAAGAAGGGGCTTTGACTCTTTCTCTGGATCTGGAAAGATCTCCCATGGAGCCACAAGGATCAGCTCAGTGACGGAGACAGACGCAACGCCATGGAGAGAGCTAGCCTGCGATTGGTCAGCTGACCGTTTCCATTAAATGAATCAATATCGATTACATCACAGTTGTAACAAAATAACACAAACGCTGAGTCTGTTGATGGTCAGGAGCAGCAGGAGGAGGAGCCTCCTCCACGCTTTCTCTCTCTGAAACTTCACAGAGGGACTCTCAAGCTGTCAGTGAGAACTCGACCAGGTGAACAGTGTGTGCACGAACAGCGGTGCGTTAGAGGACAGCAGGTAGAGAGGACAGCTGTTTTCAGAGAAACGCTTGTATCTGCGATCTCGTTCTTTCGGTCACTACCCAGAGCTCATGACCATAGGTGAGGGTAGGAACGTAGATCCACCGGTAAATCAACCACTGCAAGACCTTCTGACTCGGCTCTCTCTTCACCACGACAGACCGGTACAACGCCCGCATCACTGCAGGTGCAGCACCAATCCACCTGTCGATCTCACGCTCCATCTTTCCCTCACTCATGAACAAGACCCCGAGATACTTCAACTCCTCCACTTGAGTCAGGACCTCATCCCTGACCCGGAGAAGGCACTCTACCCTTTTCCTACTCAGGACCATGGTCTCAGATTTAGAGGAGCTGATTCTCATCCCAGCTGCTTCACACTCGGCTGCGAACCGCCCCAGCGAAAGCTGGAGATCACGTTCTGATGAAGCCAACAGGACCACATCGTCTGCAAAAAGCAGAGACCTGATCCTCAGACCACCAAAACGGATGCCCTCCACACCTCGGCTGCTGCACAAACGGATAAGACAGACGACTTCACCACTGAAGCCCTCAGGATCTCCAGTATCACCCTGCTAGGGAGAATGTGTTGAATTATGAAATAAATGAACTTTTTCACCACATTCTCACTTTTCGCAGTTTCACTTGTTTTCATGGACATTATGAAGCTATCATCAACAAGCATCAATGATGGAACTTCATGGGGCGGAGCCGGCCTTAACCCTGTGATGCATAATGGTCACCACAGTGGACAGCTACTCGCGCTGTGCATGGAGGTGGACGTGTACGAAATTATTAGTAAATGGTACAAAAATATGTGTTGACATTAGTTTCATTCACACCTAAAGATGAATGAAAGAAATAGTAGAAAAACTCATGGTTGAAGATTTCATAATTGATGCATCAAAGGGCTGAGAGACTCCTCACCAGCTGGACCGGGCCGTGCTGACCGGTGGACACGGCGGTGGGATGAGACGGGTGTGTCGGTGATGTTCAAACGTCCTCATACTGATCAAAAGGTGTGTTGACTCCATACTGAACAACACCTTCCAGTTCCAGAAGACGTCCTCCTTTGACCCGATCAGGTTTCCTAGTCAAATATCTCCTCTGTGGACATTTTCTTTAAACTGACAAAAATCTGGAGGTCATGTGTTATTCTGATGGATTACAATTCTGGTGAGGTGGGTAGAAATCTCAGCAAAGCCACACAAGATGGCAAGTCCTGCGGCGTCACTCACTAATGCAGAACCGAGGAAAGTTCATTTTTATGCAGAGAACATGGTGGACGCATCGGTCAAAAACAGATCAGAGCACCTCAGCATGACCTCTGACCTCCACACCTTACTCAGCACTCACCATCCGGGAGGGAAGTGGACAGAGGAATGGATAGGAGGCTTCGTCTGCCACTACAGGCCACAGGCTGGCGCACCAGGACCTCCGCTCACTAAAGCGAGTGCTGGCAGCATCAGGAAACCCTGCCAGCAGGTGAGCAGCTCCAGCCCATGTGGACCAGAGGGAAGCTGTGAGACTTCAGGCTGCAGGAGGTCACCTCTTCCTCTTTAAATGTAATCATGTCATTTTTAGAAGTAGCTGCTGCGGCCACAGTCCCAGTCTCCTGCTTCATGGTGACAGCGTCAGGTGCGTTCTGGGCTGAATATTAATGTGAAGGAAAGCTAACGCTACTGATCACGTGGTTTTTCCACCTGGAAAACTAAAACCAAGAGTACAAATATGACGACAGGGTTCTTGTTGACCTGTCAGTGACAACAATGACAAACAAGAGCACAACCTCTGCTTCCAAATGATCTAAAGTCCAGATCATACAACCAAAGGAAGTGATGGGGTGTTTGGGGAGGAGCTTAGGGCGGCTGGCTGGCCCAGGAACAGGGTACAGCTTCCTTTCTTTGGAGTTAATGAACCAGCACCGGGGAGCAGCTCTTCGGCCCCTCTTCCTCCCCCTGGGTCTTCAACAGATGCCCAGAATGATACCAAGCTCCAGCGGTAAGACACCAGCATTGCCACCACTCTGGAAGTTTGATCATCAGTAACAAAAGTCCTAAAGGAAACAGCGCGGGATTCAAACGCAAGCATGGTCAAAGGTAACCGGAGGAGGACAGCAGCACCTCCAGCTCATCTGTTAACGTCGTCTCCACCAACTCTGTGAGTCAGTCTTTTATCATACACAGACAGATTTTAATCCGGAGTGGGATTATTGAGAAATTGGGATTATTACAATCTAAACAAGTTCCTGTCTGTCTGAAGAAACCAGCTTGGACTCCTCAGAACATCCTGCTGTACCAACAGGTAGATGCCGTCCTAGACGTAATCACTTGTTCAGCAACGCCGTCTGAGAGTAGGGATGGTCCCATCACCGTGTGTGTTGCTCCCAGTCCGGGTCCAAGTCATTTGATTTAGAGTATCTGACAATACCAAGTCCCAATCCGACACTTCAGCAGTCCATTAAATAATAGGAGTAAAGGAGAACATCCACGTTGTCCTGTTATTACTAGTCATGTATCTCATGTTTCCTGCGTTTACCTGCCCAACACGCCTCTCGTGTACGAAGCATACTGATGAGAAACGTGTTAACATCATGAAAGAATTTGTCCGATAGCTGTTCTGAGAGGCACGTTCCCGCACCGAGGCAGGCAGACACCGTTCTCCGTACCGCGACTTTAAAACTCAACGTTTGGCGGCCATTTCTCTTCGTGTATTAACGCAGCGCTCAGCGTCGGCTGGCTCTGTGTTTTTGTCCGAGTTGTTGCAGTGAGCCGGGACTGCGAGTGGCCGGCTAACGAAACAAGCGATGCACTGAAGGAAAAAGCCGAGAGAGAGAGGAGTTTGTTTTTAAGGCGGTTTATCAGATTTGTAGTGCTGAACGCAGCTCCGTCCTGAAAAGCCCACGGTGCAGACGCTACAGGTTGCTGTCGCTCAGCCTTTGCTGTCTGGTTTAAAAGATGTCCACACTGCAGATGTCCTCTCTTACCTGAGAAGACACCTTAGCTCTGCGTTAGCCCGCTGAATCAGCTCGGTCGGCCCGATCGCGGCACCGGATAAGAGATTCCTCGTTTCTGTGACTGTTGCACAGCTTAGTTTGCAGTTCTTCAGGTATTTTTTAACCTTTCACTGTAAACATGGCGGCGCTACCTGCCCACTTAAACCAGCAGCCCCTGTGTGTGTTCTGCCAATTAGACTATTGTCTGCGGGCTTTTAGACTCTGTCAGAGTTTTTAAAGTAGGAAGGTTTGGACTCGTCGTGTTTTCTTTCTGAACAAGGGCCACTGGTCACATGACCCTAAATAAGAAGAACTCCACAAACATCGAGTCTCAAACCTGATTCCTGTAGAAAGGTTATCGGTTTGTGCTGCTTGTAATGTTAAAGGTGCAACATTCGTCCTTGCAGAAACTGTTCAAGCGAGGCACATTTAGAAAAGTTCAACCAAAACGAACGCAGGGGCTGTTCTGTCAGATAGACGCGTGCGTCCGACCGATCGACTGATCCGTCACTGACGACGGGAAACAGCGCCGCATCGGATGATTGGATGTTTCAGAGGTGATTAAACATGTTCCTTTTGTTGATGAAACGTTTAATTTAGTGGCTGTTGTTGGTGTGTGAAGAGCGCTTCAAGCAACAGCATCTTCCAGAAAACGTCTCAGACAATAACTTTGATCAAAGTTATTGGAGGTAAATCCCCCGCAGGTCATACTGGACGCGATCCAGTTCCTGGCCGGCTTTGGCACGGTCGCTGGATTGCTTCAGTTCCACACTCGGTGTGCATGAGGCTTCAGCGCGCCAGTGCAAGCCCTTCATGCTGGTCTGAGACAAACTCTTCAACGACACTCCCAGCAGCAGTCAAACATCTCATCTGTACTGGTCTGAAGGGGTCCTGACCAAGGGGTCGTGACCAAACAGACTCTACGCACCGACTAGACGCAGAATGTAGAAACGCATCACGTTCTTCGCTCCGACACAACAAATAAACACACGTAGTTGGTGACTTGGGCCAAAACCACAGCCTTGTGAAGTCAGTCGTGTGTACAGGTGCTGCCGTGTCTGAGCGCTCAGGATGAATCAAATCAAATCCACGAACCAGCAACGGCTAAAGCTGGTGATGTTTCAGACTTCCTATGTAGAAGAAGAATGAGCGGATCACCCCAGATGTAGATCACAACCATTCCTGTTCTAAGCTGCCTGTAGCAGTCTGCGTTCGAATGGAGGAACCTGCTGTTTAGTGATCTACGGGTGTTTTATTCACCTGTAGCTGCAGCTAGCATGGTTAGTGAGCACAGCGGCATTCCCAGCTCTGGAATGGTATGGGAGAGGAGCTGAATTCTGCTGCTCAAACGTACCTTGCGTCCCACCTCGTTGTTATGTAAATTCATCAGCATCCTGGAGTTCTGCTTGACCTCCCGAGCATCGACGAAAACCCTGGAAAACTCCAGACCGTGGTGGACGTCTGCAGAGCAGCCGCCCCACTTCCAGCCTTCCTCCTGGTTGTAGGAGCCCTGCTTGTCCTTTTCACAGCCACATCCGGTGAGGCTCCCCTGGGTGCAGGCGGCTGTGACCGCATGGGCGACACCAGCAGCTATGATGGCGTAGGCGAACGCAGCCTCCTTACTGCCTGTGACAGACAGAGAAGGCATTCTGAACAACACTTTCACACACCCAGATTCCCTCTTCCAGGCGCTGTCAAGCCTCCTTACATACCTGGCATAGCTGCTTCAAACCAGATTAGGAAATGCACGAGCCGAGCCAAGTCCAGTTCATTACTCAAGCTTCTTCTGAGAAGGTAAACTTCCTGATGAAGCTCTCAGTCATGTAAAAGGCCTAATGAGCGCTGCAGAGGAGATTCGGCTGTGCTTACGGAGTTGGGACTGTTGCTGGAAGAACACGAACTTGGATTTGTTTTTACTCCAGACTAGAGAACCCCCAGCAGCCGTCACGCTGGCCTCCACCGTGGAGGTGACGCTGGGAGACATGCACAGCCTCCCTACATGCAGATGTTCCACCTCATGAATCTCAACATTTGAACTCAACTGCAGATCTTGTTGTGACTTAAATGGAGATAACGCCTTTCATCCAGTCGCTGTGCATGAAAATTAGAACCTGTTTCAGACACCTATATCCTTCAGTGTTTATGAACACATGAATGTGAAGCTGCGACTCGCATTAATATTGGATCAAAGTAAATAAAAGGCCTCACAGCCAAGTGGGTGGAGATGATCCCGACCCTAATGCCGAGCACGCCTGCTGCAGGACTGCTAATCCAGCCCACATTCATCTGTGACCGCTCCAGCTGAGTGAAGGAAAACAACAGTCTGAGGGCCGCTGGACCTCCCGAGCAGAACCTCCTCTGGAACCTGGACTTGTGCTGGGACTGGAATCCCAGTTAGACAGCACCACAGGGCCTGAGCAGGACCTCCCGTTAAAGCTGCAGAACTACTGGAAAGCCAGAAGCCAGAGCTCGTCTGAACAGGACAGTCTTCATTAAGCTGGACTGTTACTGCTGGAGTCTCCAGGCTGCAGGAGCTTCTGTCTGAGCCCAGAGGAGCTCAGCCCTGTTCCACCAACAGCACAGGAAGTCCTCTGTCCCAGGATCAGAGGTCACGCATCTCCTCTGGACTAACTAGATCATCCTCCCACATCCCCTGTCTCCTGCAAAATCCCAAACCTGTCCTGCTTGTCTCTGTGGTGATGGGATGTCCTACTCCTACCTACCAACTCGGAGCTCCCTCCCGAACACGGTCCGCTCCCCCAGAGCTGAGCAGTTCCAGCGGCCGTGGCGGAACTGGAACTGACACTCGTTGATGCCCTTCTGGACTCCCTCTCCGATCACGATGATGGCGTCGGGTCTGCTCTGGCAGATGGTCCTCTGTCTGGGGGCCAGGCCGGGGATCTTGTTGCAGATGATGCTGGCTCCCAGCGCGACCACCGGGGACAGACCCCTGGGGACAGGAGACGGGTTACAGGTGCACCCGCAGACCCGCAGGTGGTCCCGTTCCCTCCTGAAGTCACCAACTCACCCGATTTTCAGGTAGAGGATCCCGAAGCAGAGGAAGACGTGGAAAACCCAGCGCCGGGTCTTCCTGCTCATGGTTCCGCTGGGTCTGGATCTTCAGGGGTTCCGAGCCAAGCGTCCACACAAAGTCCAAAGTCCGAGGCAGCAGGTTCGTCCCGGTCTCCTTTGGTGAAAAGTCAGCGGCGGGAGTCTGCGGGGGTGCATTGGAGCAGCTGGTTCTGGTTCCGGATGCTGGCTGTGGGTCCAGCAGAACTGCTGAATGTCTCCAGACTCCGGGTTCCTCCTCCTTCTGTCGGGGCGTGTTCGGAGGAGTGTCTCCGAGCCGCGCGCGCTCAGCCTGCAGGTACACGCGCACAGGTTGACTGGTCCACTGATCCGTGAAGTTCGGACCAGGTTCTGGTTCTGCAGCGCTGCAGCTGTCGTTCCTCCTAGAGGCGCGTTTCTGATGTTTTATTCTGATGAAACTATCAGCGATCATTTAGCATCAAACCATAAACAAGCGCAGGTCCCACAGGTCCCACAGGTGACCTGGAACCGAACCTGCTGCAGGTCAGCAGAAAAATAAAAACACTTCATGAAAGTTCGCGTTTGCTTTGTGAGTTCAGAACGATTCGTTCTGGGGCTGAATCTGTGAACTCCTCTGATGCTCTCCACGGAGAAGAATTAGGAGATGAGAGGGGAGTGGGCTCCCTGAAAGGGTTGTCCCCCCTTCATCACACACACGCACGCACGCGCACACACACGCACATGCATGTACGCACGCACGCCTATACACACACACACACCTGCACACACACACACACACACACACACACACACACACACACACACACACACACACACACACACACACACCTGCACACACACACACACACCTGCACACACACACACACACACACACATACACACACACCTGCACATACACACACACACCTGCACACACACACACACACACACACACACACACACACACACACACACACACACACACACACACACACCTGCACACACACACACACACCTGCACACACACACACACACACACACACACCTGCACATACATACACACACACACACACCTGCACACACACACACACACACACATACACACACCTGCACACACACACACACACACATACACACACCTGCACACACACACACACACACACACACACACACACACAGCTACACCTACACACACCTGCACACACACACACACACACACACACACACACACACACACACACACACACACACACACACACACACACACACACACACACACACACACCTACACACACCTAAACACACACACACACCTAAACACACACACACACACCTGCACATACACACACACACACACACCTGCACACACACACACACACACACACACACACACATACACACACACCTGCACATACACACACCTGCACACACACACACACACCTGCACACACACACACACACCTGCACATACACACACCTGCACACACACACACACACCTACACACACGCACACACACACACACACCTGCACATACACACACACACACACACACCTGCACACACACACACACACACACACACACACACCTGCATACACACACACACACACACACACACACACACACACACACCTTGCTGTTAGGGTGGCCGTTGTAACTCGTTGGAACCCTAACCCTTAAAGAGCAAGTCACCCCCACATCAGCGTGTTTTTGCTGGTAAACTCCACAAATGAGCGTCCTGCTGCAGACTCGTGTACTCAATAATTCGACACTTTAGTGCATCTTAGGTAAAATTTAAATAATCTGCGTAAAACTGTCAGAGTTGCGTCCTCTTCAGGTGAAAACTCTGCACTGCATTTGGATTTAAATCTGCCATCACTATTGGCTAAGAGGTATGTTAGCTGGTACATTATGATGTCACAATGTTGTTGTAAGCCTGTTTGTGTATATTTGTTAGTGGCTCCGCCCTCTCGGTCTGTCAGGTAACAGCATTTGTTGCATTTTTCAAACAGGAAGTGGGAGGGGAGTAAGGCTATGTTCACACTGCAGGCAAAGCGCATCTTATTCACTTTTGTCCCCACATGCAAGCCACATCTGATTTTTGTACGGCAGTCTGAACGCACAGATTGATTTTTTTATTTGTCGCATTAATTCCGTCTTCTACGCCACTGAGTCAGCGGAGGTGAGTGTCGTGTGTGGATGTTCCTGAGGAGGAGCGCTGACAGAAGGGTTCAGGAGTCTGTGTGGACTTCCTGTTTTAGGTTTAGGATTTAAAAATACAAGAGCATGAGAATGGGAGCGGAGGTACAGCTGGTGCGAAGCCTCTCACCGGTCTCCGTGAAGGGAGGGGATTCTCCGTGAATGAATACCGGAATATTTCTGGTGAATTATAATTCAGGGAGACGGCGGGAACAAGGAGTACAACTTTTTCCAGTTTTAAAACAGTTTCCAGCACAAAATAGAAGAATTTAGCAGGTGTGAAAGTTTTCACTGACAGTTTATCCACAGGATCAGGATTAAATCACAGGTCCACCGCTCCTGGTTTTGGCTTCACTGAGTGTGACTTCTTCTCTTCTGCACATGCGGGTCGCTTTGGTGCTGCGACGCGTTCACACTGGAGAGATGTGGCATTTCAGTCATCATGTGAACGGCCACACAAAAAATCTGATTTACTCAAAAAATTCTGAAGCGAGCATCAAAGCCTGCAGTGTGAACGTAGCCTAAGCCTCTGGTAGGGGGTGACTTGCTCTTTAAATAATCAGGGATTAAAAGTCGTTTCTATGGCAACACCGATACCAGTGTTTGATCCAACAGTAAATTTGGTGAGATTGTTATTTTCTCAAATGAACCACTGTTTTCCACTGAATTGTGACTTAATACCAGGTAAATGTTATCAGCTTGTATGTGAACCACTCCAAACCATCGGTAAGTGAACTCTGTTGTTTTCATCATTTCATAAATCAGACAGATCTAAACATGATATTTTACTATTCAGTGCTGATTTTAATTATAGAACCCCAAAGTCAGCATAGATGAAAACACCTGGTTGAGAACGTTAGTCGGTACCCGGGTTTTGAATGGTAGTGCTGCCGCCTGCTGGTCGTTGAGTAGAACTGCCGCAACACGAAATTTTCCTCTGTGAAGGTCATTGTTGCACTAATCTACAAAACTAAGTGCACCACAAAGAAAGGATGAAAATTTGAGTGATAACGGATTATTATTTATTTATTTATTTATTTATTTATTAAACCCAAAAAAACCACCAACCTGAGATTTTCTACATCCATAATCTTTAATGCTTTAGACTCCATGTACTTCTCAAACACGTTCACAATCTACTAACTCATGCTGCACAGGCAGCTGGGCACAAACAAACATCTGGATCTGCTCACCCACAAGCCTGAAGCGTCCCACTTTGAGAACGGTTGAAACGTTATCTCCCAGTGTGGGTTCCACCCTGAAACTATATAACCTACTACCTCATCCCACAGAACAACCTGGACTGCAAACAGGGGGTGGACTATGAAACCCAGATCTCAGCTCAGAGGACCGTGGAGAAACACAGAAGAACTCTTCAAGTCAGTCCTGATACCAGAACAGCTTAGGCTGTTCCACGTTTAAGCCTAAAGCTATTACTCGTACGCAGCAGTTCTTCAACCTGAGGCTCTAGGGCCACATGTGGCTCCTCAGCATCTCTGATGCCACCAAACATGGACCTGAGTAATGTTCAGATTTAAAGAGCAAGTCAACCCCTACCAGAGTCTAACTCCACTCCCACTTCATGTTTGAAAAATGCAACAAATGCTGTTGCCTGACAGACCGAGAGGGCGGAGCTGCTAACAAACACACACACACAGGCTCACGACAGCATTGTGACATCATAATGTACCAGTTTACATCATAGCATACCTCTTAGCCAATGGCGGTGGCAGATTTAAATTAAAATACAGTGCAGAGTTTTTTCCTGACGACGGCACAACACTGACAGTTTTAAGCAGAATATTTAAATTTTAACTAAGATGCACTGAAGTGCCAAATTATTGACGACACGTGTCTGCAGCACGATTAGACACTCGTTTATTTAGTTTATCAGCAAACAAAAAGTTTATTTGGGGGTGACTTGCTCTTTAATATGCCAGCATGCTTGAGCAGTTTTCTTGATTTCACAGGGGAATCCTGCAGGTTGTTTCCCATTAACTCAATACCCAAATGAACTAAAACAGCTCCAGGGAACTACAAAGCATCGAGAGGACATTCACAAAGGGTCTAGAACACAGGGTCCTAGAAAGCCACATTTCTGTATGTTTTTTATCCATGCATGAACTTACAGCTTCTAACTGGCTGAAAACATAGGACCCAGGTAATCAAGAGCAGGAACAACAAAGATAGTTGGAAAACAAGCAGGACTGCGGCTCTCCAGGACCAGGGTTGCTGACCCCTGATCTAGAAGAAATATGTGGGTGATCCAGAGATGAATTAGAGGGGATATAGATGGGTCCAGAGAGGACATAGAGGAGATCTAGAATGCATTTTATTACTATGAATAATAATAATAATAATAATAATAATAATAATAATAATAATAATAATAACAACAACAACAACAACAATAATGATAATAATAATAATAATAATAATATGTCACGACCAGAACTTGGAAGACCCGTGATGACACCAAACACAGTAAAAGTTTTATAAAAAGTCTTTACTGATGTAGCGTTACCATGGAGAGGAGGGAACAAGGAGTGGACAGTAGAGAGGGAGTACGGGTGCAGGGAGGGTGCTGGTTTAGAAGATGCTCTCTGAAGAGCAGGGTCTTCAGGAGTTTCATGAAAATTGAAAAGGAAGCCGCTGTTCTGGTAGTGCTTGGAAGGTCATTCCACATTTGTGGAACGATGCATGAGAAGAGTCTGGATTGTCCTGAGCGTGGTGTAGGCACTGCTAGCCGACCATCCTGCGATGACCGGAGCGGCCGGGCCGAGCAGCATATATAGCAGGGGGAGCAGGTGTGTGTAATGAGCTGATGATAGGGACAGGTGAAATGAATGAAGTGGCGGAGGGCTTGATGAGGAGGCAGCAGAAGCAGAGGAGGGTGAAAGACGGAGTCATGACAGACCCCCCCCACCCCCCCACCCCCATCCCTAAAGGGTGGATTCCATTCCAGACGCCCACAGGCAACCAGAGCAGGGTGGGAGGAGGGGGACCAGGAGGGTGGGCCAGAGCAGGGCGGGAGGAGGGGGACCGGGAAGGAGGGCCAGAGGAGTCAGAGAGACCGGCGATGAGGGACAAGGGACCGGAGACGGAGATGCAGGAGCTGGCAGGGTCTCAGGAGTCGGGGAGGCCAGCAGAAACCGGAGGGCCCTTGGGGGTTGGTGACGGGGAACCAGGAGCCGGGAACAGGGGAGTCTTGGGGACAGGCGACGGGGAACCAGGAGCCAGGACCAGGGGAGTCTTGGGGTCCGGCAACGGGGAACCAGGAGCTGGGACCAGGGGACCGGCGATGACGAGGCAGTGGCCAGAGGGCCCTAGGAGGCCGGCTGCGATGGGCGAGGAACGGACCGGCGGTGATGGCTGCCGATGGCCGGCCTGGAGTAAGAGGGGGTGGAGACACATGAGACTGAGGCGAGGACGTAGACTCTGGAGACTGAGGCGGGGACGTGGACTCTGGAGACTGAGGTGGGGACGAATACTCTGGAGACTGAGGAGGGGACGAAGACTCTGGAGACTGAGGTGGGGACGAATACTCTGGAGACTGAGGAGGGGAAGAAGACTCTGGAGACTGAGGCAGGGACGTGGACTCTGGAGACTGAGACGGGGATGTAGACTCTGGAGACTGAGGCGGGGACGAAGACTCTGGAGACTGAGGCGGGGACGAAGACTCTGGAGACTGAGGTGGGGACGAATACTCTGGAGACTGAGGAGGGGAAGAAGACTCTGGAGACTGAGGCAGGGACGTGGACTCTGGAGACTGAGACGGGGACGTAGACTCTGGAGACTGAGGCGGGGACGTGGACTCTGGAGACTGAGACGGGGACGTAGACTCTGGAGACTGAGGCGGGGACGAAGACTCTGGAGACTGAGGCGGGGACGTAGACTCTGGAGACTGAGGCGGGGACGAAGACTCTGGAGACTGAGGAGGGGACGAAGTCTCTGGAGACTGAGGAAGGGAAGAAGACTCTGGAGACTGAGGCGGGGACGTAGACTCTGGAGACTGAGGCGGGGACGAAGACTCTGGAGACTGAGGAGGGGACGAAGTCTCTGGAGACTGAGGAAGGGAAGAAGACTCTGGAGATGTGGCAGCAGCAGGCGTGGACAAAGGCGCCTGACGTAGCGCTGATGGGACTGGAGGTGGAGCCTCTTGGACAGGCTGGACCGGAACCGCCGCTAGTCGTGGATGCGGTGCGGCCTCTATAACCACCGCTGGAACTGGATGCGGAGCGTCCTCTGGCACCACCTCCGGAACTGGATGTGGAGCATCCTCTGGAACGCCTCGGGACCAGAATGCGGAGCATCCTCTAGGACCAACACTGGAACGGGATGTGGAGCGTCCTCTGGGACCAACGTGGGACCTGGATGCGGAGGGTCCTCCGGGACCACCACCGGAACTGGATGTGGAGCGTCCTCTGGAACCACCACTGAACGTAGATGTAGCACGACCTCCGGGACCACTGCTGGACGAGGATGCAGTGCAACCGCTGGGACCACCGCTGGACGAGGATGCGATGCGACCCCTGGGACCACTGCTGGACCTGGACAGACGGTGCCTCCCGGACAGACGGAGGTGGAAAAGATGGATGTGGTGCGGCTCCTGGGACCACTGCTGGACATGGATGCGGTGCAACCCCGGGAACCACCGCTGGACCTGGACAGGCGGAGTCTCTTGGACAGACGATGGTGGAATCTCTGCTGGACGTGTATGTGGTGTGGACTCTGGGACCACCGCTGGACGTGGATGCGGTGCAACCCCTGGGACCACCGCTGGACGTGGATGCGGTGCAACCCCTGGGACCACCACTGGACCTGGACAGGCGGAGCCTCTTGGAAAGGCGAAAGTAGGAACCCTGCTGAGCATCGATGCGGTGCGATTCCTGGGACCGCTGGTGGAAGTGGAAGAGGTGCACCTCCTGGGACCACTGCAGGACGTGGACACGGTGCGACTCCTGGGACCACCGCTGGACATGGATGTGGTGCGACTCCTGGGACCACCGCTGGATGTGGCATGAAGGGAGGGACGTGAGGCTTGAGCGGTGTGACTGCTAAACCTTGGATCTGTGAAGGCCATGAATTAGTGGAGGGTCTCCGGGGCCGCCACTGTTGCATTGTCAGGAACCCGCTGCGCAAGATGGTCGCAGCAGGCCTGGACGGAGGAGTGGAACCTCTGCGTGGCAGTGGCCTGCTTGCCAGACGCGTTCCCCAGAACGGTGACTCCTCAAAGAGCGTGAGACACTCCATGACAGGTCAGAATGAATGTTGGCTAAACTCCTATGCAAGTACTGTGTCGGCGTCGGGTCTATGTTTTGGCGAGATTATTCTGTCATGACCAGAACTTAGAAGACCTGTGATGACACCAAACACAGTAAAAGTTTCATAAAAAATCTTTATTGATGTAGCGTTACCAAAGGAGGGCGAGGCAGGAGACAGAGTCGGAGAGGAGGCGTGGGTCAAAACCAGATCGGGACAAGCAGGTACAGGGAGCAGGCTGGAGACGTGGTAGTACACAGGCGAGGGTCGTGGTGGCAGGCAGAGTTCAAGGCAGGGGTCAGGCGAAAAAACGAGGTCCAGAGGCTATGAAGGCAAGGTGCAAGGCTGGAAGATCTACTAACAAAAAGTGTTCAATAATCTGGCAGGGAACTGGTGGCTGGCTGGTGAATATATAGCAGGGGGAGCAGGTGTGCGTAATGAGCTGATGACAGGGACAGGTGAGATGAATGCAGTGACTGAGGGCTTGATGAGGAGGCAGCAGAGGCAGAGGAGGGTGAAAGACTGGGGGTCATGACCAGTGTTGGGCAAGTTACTTCAAAACTGTAATGTATTATTTATTACTTGTTACCCTCATTTTAAAGTAATTCATTACATTACAATATTACTGATTTTAAAATGTAAGGCATTACACTACTTTTGCATTACTTTAAGTTACTTTCAAATACATTACTTTCATTACATTACAATATTACTGATTTTAAAATGTAAGGCATTACACTACTTTTGCATTACTTTAAGTTACTTTCACCAAAACAACTTCAGTATGAATGTGGTCATGTGACGCTCAGTGAGCTCATGCCATATATGTGGAAGGTGATGTGGTGTCTGAGCTAGGATTGCTGTTATAAACAGTCAGATATAATAACAGTGCTTTAAAATGATTGTTTATTAAATAAAAGCAACAACAATCTGTACTCTCAGCACGCTGCCATCTTATATTAACTGAGGGAGTGGGGTGGTGGGGGCTCCAAGCCTATTTGCCTTGGTCCCCAAATGCCTTGATACGGCCCTGGATGTGGGACTGACTTCTGGGGTGATCTGATTCTATCACATGTATAAATATTAAATGCTTATATATTATTGCTTTTCACTGGTAAAAATGTGTATTGGGGATAAATCTACCTACTTTTTTCTTTTTTTCTTGATTTTATTTGAATAATGTCCTGCCCTTTCTCTCTCTAATCTTCCTGCATGCTGCATGTTTTCTCCGTCTTCCAGAAAAAACTGTAAACTAGACTTCCTACTTTCTAACTATCTTCACATGCGCGGCGCTCCAGCAGTAATGAGTTGAAATCACCGGGGCACAGATTATGAACTCAGCTGAGGCAAAGCACGTCAGAAAAGCACAACATACCAGAGAATATGCGCTGATATGAACGATCGCAAGTGAATTATTTTGTTTTAGTGGAGCGATTTTGTGAATGTTACAGCGGCCGCGAGCAGGACGCAGCTGAGCCGTTACCCGCGGTGTCCTCTCTGCCCGCAAAGCTGAGTCCATAAATGACGTAATATATGCAGATACTGGATCTTTCTTCGGGTTTCCCACAATTTGAATTTTTAAGGAACACATCTTGATTCTGGGTTTAAAAATGCGTTGTAATTACTGACAATTGTACCGAGTAAATATTACCATTTTCTTTCCCTGCAATGCCTTACATTACCACATTAAAGTAAAAAGCAATGCAGTACAGTAATTAATTACTTTTGTACCGCATTGCTCCCAACACTGGTCATGACATAATAATAATAATAATAATACATTTTATTTAAAGTGTATTTAAAGGAACTATAGGTCACTCTATATGTTGAAAGCAGGCTTAAACAAGTCACTCATAAAAGCCATAGGAAGTACAGATCAAACGTAAGCTAACTAGAGAGTAGAGCAGGTTGTCATTTGCAAAGCAATGGAACTGAATCTGAAATGTCTGGAATATGTGACCCATCGAAGTAAGGTAAATAATGAAGAGAAGGGCCCAGGACACAGCCATGGGGCCCAACTCTAGTAACTGGGAAGGAATCAGATTAGAAGGACTTCAATTGTATGAACTGAGAATGACCAGAGACAGGAGTGGAACCAGCTGAGTATGTACTTTGAGGAGAATCAAATAGGATCCAGAAGGGGAGGTTTAGTGAGAATCTAGAAGATATCTTGACAGGATCCAGAGAGGATCGAGAGTGAAATGTAGATGTCATCCAGAATAGATCTAAAGGGGATCTAGAGGTGATCCAGAAGAGATTGGACAGGGGGGAATCTAGAGAGAATCCAGAGAGGACGTAGGGCTCCATAAGGAGTAACACTTTATGGCAATCAATGTTTACACATCAAAGCAGCCAACCTAGAGATGACTGGCATTTTATTGTATTGTGTTCATCATGGCGGTGAGCAGGAGAGATGCAGGGGGCACCTTCGACATGTCTCCAATCACTCACGGGGACAATTTAGAGTCACCAATTAATCTAATATGCATGGATCTGGACATCAATAAAATCAGGCGGGCTAATAATTTGATAGCAACTGAGATTACATTTGCTCCCAGAGATCTCTAATATATCATATTAAAGCAATGCCCACAATGAGACAATTCATGCAATGTTTTTTGTTAATAGCATTGCCATAGTAAATCAGATTCTCTTGGACAGACTGAGGTGCTGGGCTAGAATGTCAAGTTCTGTACTACAATGGTTATCTTCCTATCTGTCTGATCGGTCAACCTTCTTGGCAACGTCAACCTACAGATCTCCTTCCTGTCCTGTCCAGTGGGGTGTTCCTCAGGGTTCGGTTCTAGGTCCACTGCTGTTACTGCTCTATCTACTCCCTCTTAGTCCCATACTTTCATCCTTTAAAGACATATCCTATCAGTGTTGTACTGATGATTTTCAGTTGTACAAATTGTTCCCTCCTAACAATGTCTCTATAGTCCACAACTTTCTGAAATGTCTGACCCTGATAAAGAATTAGATGGCTGGCAGTTTTCTTCAACTCAATGAGAAATAAACTACTGTAGAGATGAAGGAAATCCTTGGACCTCTGGCTGCCCTAGCTAAATGCTCCATTAGAAACCTTGGAATATTCTTTGATTCAGATTTCACCCTTGACAATCATGTCAGGTCTCTGGTCCGTTCCTGCTTCTGCCACCTCAGAAATATCACCAAACTTGGCTCCATTGTCTCAGGTCCAGAAATGGAAACAGTATTTCACGCATTTGTTTCCTCTCGCTTGGATTTCTGTAATGCTCTATTCACTTGTTTATCAAAAGCCTTCTAAAACCGAATGCAGACGGTACAGAAGGCTTCTGACCAAATCCTCCAGAGTCTCTCACTCTGTTAATGCAGCTGCACTGGCTCCTCGTGGAGTTTTGGATCAAATTCAAGATTCCCTTTCTAACCTGGAGAGCCCTGCATGGACAGACTCCAGTGTGCATTTGTAGTTATCTACAACTGTACACTCCATCCAGGCCCTTGAGGTCCTCTGACAAAGGTCTGCTCTCTGTCCCAAAAATCAGACTCAATACTAAAAGAGACAGAGCCTTTTCCTCCGTGGCTCCTAGACTCTAGAAATCTCTTCCTCTGTCTCTGAGGTCTGAGGACTCAGAGGACTCAGAGGCCTCTTTTAAAAAACAGCTTACGGCTCACCTGGATTTTTGCTTTAGTTTTTGACTGTGTATTGATTTTGTTTTATTTTTTTCTTGTACCTGACTATGTTGTATTTTCTTGAAATATTTTATTTATGTGAAGGTTTTTACCTTGAAAGGTGCTATGCAAATAACGTTTTACTTACTTCCCATGGCAATAATGTTTTGATGTGATATTTGTGGGGGTGCACACTGCCGTTCTGGCAAATTTAAATAAATAAATAAATGCTGGGTGATTGTGGGCTGATCACCCAAAAATCACGATGTACCATACTTCCTGTTATATCTAGGATGAGGCGGGTATAGAACAACAACTTTTTTTGTTGTATCACAGCTTCAGTCGACAGCTACACTGTTTTTTTTTCTTTTTCTTTTCCTTAACAACTCAGAGCGTGCTTTCGTCATACGTAACTATGGAACCCTTTTAAGGACAAAATACTTTACATCTCCTCCCCTTTACATTCAAGGCAGAAAACATTTTTACTCGACCAGTTCAGGCAACAACAGTAGCAGGAATCCACTTAATCTTGCCTTGGTCATTTCTGGCGTGCACTTTATCTCCTGACAAAAAGCTTATCCTTTGCATGACTTTCTCCACATTGCATTTGCCTCTTCGGATCTTCCAGGACAATGTCTTTCACGGCAGGAGGTTTAAGAAAATCCAAATCTGTTCGCAGTTCTCTGTTGAACAGAAGCCTTGCTGGCGATGCCTTTGTGGTTGAATGTGGTGTCCTCCGGTCTTCGAGCAGAAATTCGTGTAGTCTTTGGTGGAGAGTACCTTGTCCTTGGGCAACTCATTCTCACACCCAAAGCTTCAAAATATGACGCGTGTGACCAAGCCTCAATATATGATGATTTGGGATGCCCTAGCACGTCCAGAGAGGACGTGCAGGGACACGTGGCACCGCCGGCGTCTGTTTTTGACGCTCACTTCTTTCTACACCAGTTAGGGGCTGTTGTCTGAGACAAGCTGGACTGGAGCACCAAACCTACTGAAGACTTTTCCTAACTCCTCAATAGTCTTTTCTAAATTAGTAGATTTCATAATAGCCACCTCTGGCCACTTGCTGACATCAATAGCAATTAGAAACATTTTGTCTTCGAATGGACCCTCAAAATCAATGTGAACACAATACCAAAGATCCTGTGGAATATCTCATGGATGGAGTGGAGCTGCACGAAGATTGTTGGGAGTCTTGTGACATGATGAACAACTCATTGCCATCTGTTCTGTTTGTTAAGCCCTGGCGACCAAAAATAACTTCTTGCCACCTCTTTCATTTTCACAACACCACTGTAACCTGCATGAAGCTGCACCAACCATTTAGTGTGGAGTGACTGCGGAATGATAACTC